GAGGGGGGAGGATGTGGGTTTCCGTGTCCCCGAGGTGGCGGCTTGTCTAATTTCCAGCCGGCCAAATAAAGCAGGGGACAGGTACCGGTAGGCAGCAAGCGGCAAAGCGCTCCCCAGCGCTCCGGTGACACACCAGGCAGAATACACCTCCTGTAAAGCTGCTCCCCGGGGCTTCAACAAAGGCAGTAGAAGCAGCGGGACAGGCACGCGAGGTGTGCCTCCGAGCAGCTCTTCAAATTCCCTCGGTACCCATCTCCCTCCTCCTCTTCAACAACTTTTTAACTTGGGGAAACAAACACCCCCAGAGAAAGTTAAGCCCAGCGACCACCCCTTGCGTGCATCTCGGCCAAGCTGCGCTTTGGACACTGACTCTTCTCCCTCTCAGCAACCTTGAGCAGAAGGGAGCCCAACAATCATCCGTTCCTGCACCGGCAGCCCGCCCCCACGGAGCAGCCACCGCCGGCTGAGCCAGCGGCGCCGGCGGTGAGGGGCTGCTGCTGACCGAGCAGGGGGCATGGAAACCCAGCGACTGCCGAAGAGCTGCTGGCAGCCCCCTGCGAGGTCCCCCTGGCAGATTCCGTCACCCCAGGGTGAGCGACACAAAAGAGGCAGCTGCTTCAATGCAAGTAACAGCCCGCAGTTGCCGTTCCTCTCATTCTGACCTGGTTCCGTTACATCGTTCAGTGTGTCAAACACATGTATGAAGGCAATACACGGACTACTTGAAGGAGAAAAAAATGGCATTTGTGCATCAAGTGTGCAGTGTCCAGCAGTGACAAAGACTTCAAGAGGGCTAAAAATTGCTGAGGAACAGATCTTGGCAAAACAAGGGAGAGAAACCACTTTGTGATCCCTCTTTCTATTATCTTACTTCTCATTCTAAGACCCAGTGAGCCTGATTGCTGCTTCGGGTTGTCACAGGCATGTCCAAAGATGCAGTCCCTGCCCTGAAGAAGTTTTCTTTATCAGTAAACGACATGTAGAATTGATCTATGAAATTTCTGCAAGGTCAGACATACAGGTACTGAGCCAATTAATGTCAGATATTCATTGTAACACTCCCAGGGGACATTACTGAGCAGCCACGTTACAGGAATACTGATGTATAATTGTAATCTTCCATTTCACCGGCCGTGATTTTTTTGTTGCCCGCATATTTGAGAAGCTGCAATGAAAGAAGCAGCAGAAGAAAAAGAGAGGAAGAACAAGAAACGGGTGCAGCATTAAAGCAATTCCGTAACAGGGAGATTTATCCAAACAAATAAATCTCTCCCTTTCTCTGTCTTTTCTCTGGCATCCTCTAAGACAGCCCTGACACTCATTTCCCTGTGCTCACCGACATTGCAAACTGCAGCACATATGGGGCATATATGTGATCTACGGTGCTGTATTTGTGCAAACCGACTATTTCCACACACGTGGAAATGGATTTTAAGCCTGCCCATATACGTTACATACGTGAGCAGCTGGCAGCAAGTCAACAGGGAGCACTGGGAGGGCAAAAGCCCTCTCCTACAGAAAGGACATTAACAAAGGTGATTCTGGAAGCCAGTGTTCCCGCTTCAGCATCTCACCAAGCAGAAACATTTCCAAAAAACCTTTTGGATGATTGTATGCAAATTAACTGCATAAAGCACCCCAATGGTGAGATTTTTGTAAGGCCCTTCCTCTTGTCCTTGCCTGTTTTATTAATTTCAAGGAAGAGTAAAATCAATCTATTTTATCAGGAAAGACAAAAATTGTGCAAAACCAAGGCCAATCAGGTTCAGTGTGGATTTTCATTACCTACAGTTATTATTTCCAAAAAAAGGAGAGTATTTCTTTATTTTGCTGTCTTCTATTAAAAAAAAAAAATCACTTTAAGGGAAGAATTATGATTTCATTAAAATCCCACTTATGCATGACGTATTTTTGTGTTCAGCCAGACCTTTTAATCATACCACAAGCAACAACAATTAAACTAAACAAAGCAAAACACAAAGATAGGTCCCACTTATTTTCCCAATTTTTACAAGTTCTGATTTCACTACAGATATTACTCTAAAATGACACCAAGGCACGCTTCATTTATCGGAATCTTGAATGGTCCGTGAAATAATTAATTCGCGCTGGAAGAAAACGGGGCTGCTCTCGGCATGCTCCATCTAAATCCAGTGGCAGATGAGGAGGAGGATGCGAGGGGCCCCCAAGTGACAACAGCATGTACTGAAGAGCAAGGCAGCACCCTAGCCCAGTCCCTAAAAGTCAGCAGTCTGGCTCAAGAGGCATTCTCAGCACACCACCAATTGACAAAGAAGCCTCCCAGCACTTTTTCAGACCCTTACGCAGCCCTTGCTTAAGCAACCTGCACCAACCACGCAGGAGCACAGCATCTTGGCGTTACCAGCTCTCCCATTTTAGAGCCAGGCAGATGAATCGGGGCAGAGAGGGCTACCGCAGGTTCGTGCTCCAGAACAACAGCAGAACCACAGTTCAAACTCTGGTGACGCTACACCGGCACCTTGGCTTTGAGCCCCCCGCGCTGCCGATTTGACATTTACTTCCTTCCAGTGCAGGGGGTGGGAAATGACCCCCAGGAGCCTGGGACAGAATACGTGTGGACTTGTGCTTTTGCAGCGGCGGGACAGGAGCGGGTAGAGCACCAGAGATGCTGTAGAGATTAACTGCTGTCTCACTTCACACATCGCCTTGAGCAAGTCACCTGTGCAGGCTCTCAATCGTCCCTTCAAAAGCACCATTCGCATCCTGCTTGGATATTACAACTCAGTCCCTGGTGCAGATGACCCACCACTAGGAAATTTAGCTAGTGTCCATGAAGCAGTATGTGTGTCAACCATTATAACTCACCCTTAGTACAGCTTTTAATTAATCATCTCTTGATAGCTAAACACAGTGCTATCAACCTCTACTTCCCAGCAGGAGTTTTAAGTAAACAGTAAGGCCCTCTGGACTCAGTGGCTCTTTTGTCCAACATCATGGTCAATTTTGCACTCCTCTCATCCTTCTTCCTAATACTGAGATAAGCCATTTATCTCCTGGGTAATATATTTTAACAGCAGACAAGTGCTACCTTTATTTTCAGCATGAAAGGAACCCCTAGGGCGGTATACTTATATGCTTATAGGAATGAAACAGCTGGATGTCCTTGCTTAGCGGGCCTTAACTTGTGCAGATTACGCTTTGCATGAGAAGGAATACGACGCTGAATTACCACTGGGGCAGAAGAAAGCACCTATGGTACCTGTGGTGGTGTTGAAAACAGCCACGGCGTGCTGGCTTCCTTATGGAAGACATTAGGTTTCTGGGTTATTTGCAATTGGCAGGGAAGAATCCGATCTCTGGCCAAAGCAACTGCTAACTTTGGTATCAGTTATGAATATTTCTGTGTCCCTTAAATTTCTGAGTTCGACCTTTTAATTAATTAAAAGAGGAACCAACACCCAGAATGTGCTGCCTCCCCTCTTCCTGCGAGAAACATCCACTGCTAGAAATAGCGTTGAAAAGCTGTTATACTTTCTAATAGCTTTCTAACAGAAAAAAAACCAGTACGGTCTGCAACAGACACAGTATATTCAGAAGCCTGCTTCATTGAATAGAAATTGCATTTTCACATCATTCCTCCACAGGACAGGAGACCTGTGCAAAGATTTATTTCTTTATCTTACCCTTTACTAAAGTGCCTGTTAGGCTGGAACACCACTAACTAGCAATGCAAAACTTGCGCTTCCCAGTGACGGAACTTACCTTCAACATCTCTCCACCTGCTTTTTTGAAAAAGGGACCAGACCCAGAGCTACCCTGGCAAACCCCAGATCCTGAGGGACTCCCACATTGTTGGTTTCAATGGGTAAGGAAGCAATTAAGAGACAACCTAAATAAAGGCACCTATAAACTTAATGGAGCATTGAAAATCCAGTCTACAGACAGATTTTCCTGCTAACACACAACTACACAAAGGCAAAGAGAATATTCTTTGGGCAACATGCAACAAAGCAAACTTTACACAGGCTATCTGCTTCTAAATCACATTAAATAACAAAGAAATTGCCTCCTCTAGCAGTTATGGAGGGCAGGAACATTTTGTTTTCATAGCATAATTTGGTAAAACTGACTCAACACAATCAGATAACACTGATCACTTCTGCCTCTATGTCTTTTGATGCTGGTGCCAGGGCATGCCCTTGAGAGGTATGGGGAAAGGCATACACGAAGAAATCCTGGGGCTGTTCGTGTTCTGAAGAGGAGACTGCTCTCTTCCCCAATGAATCTACGGAGCTTCCCTACTGTGTGAAATCCAAGAGCAGAGGCTGGAATGGGGGCTCAGAAGCACAAGTGTAGACCGGCTTCCACTGCAGCGCGAGGAAGGTGCTCAAATAGGTGACAGAGCAGGACAAAAGCCACGAAATAACAAGATCCTCATTTCAGAAGACTGATTGTTTTCCCAGGCAGGTATATTTTTGCTTGGATGTTATAAACAAACCCCGGTGCATGTTACCATGCAAAAGAAGAATTACAAGAACATGATAAGGACAGAAAGGTCAAGTCCAAAAACTGGGAAGCACTGGTTGCTATTCTTTAACTTAGCTCCATTGAATAATCCCCCCCCCCCCCCCCCCCCCCCCTTTTTTTAAACTATGTTCTCCTCCATCCCGATAGCTCTGCCTTGTTCAGCATACATTGAGACTTTGCTCTGGGACTGGGTCAAAGCTGAGACAAAATGTCCTTGTCTGTTGGGACCCTGCTGTACCCACTGCAAAGGCTGGAAGCACCTCCCTCCGCAGGGTGACACTGAGGTCCCCAAACCTGCCCACTGATGACTAGCTTGGACACAGCAAAACTTACAGAGTCACATCTGCTTTAGCTCAGAGCTCCATCCAGGCCCGTTGCATCCTACAAGCAGATCCTGGCTGTAAGAGCCGAGAGCTCAGGCTGAAGCATGCTCAGAGCTTGTCGATCCTTCAAATACTAACCTACAAAGCTGTAGAAGCTCTTCACAGAGCATATACAAACTGCATTTTTTGGCCTCTCACTTGGGCCAGATTTGGGTGGATATCTATGAAGATGGCAAAAAACCAAAGACTCTTCCCCAAAGGGATTTCAGGTCCCACTTCAGAAGTATAAGAGCTTTTCAGAGAACTACTGCCAGTTTTTTTTTTTTAACATAGCAAACCAGATTTTACCCCTAACCTTACTCTTAGCAGCTTCTCAACCATGTTGGCTGCATGTTTCATTGAAAAATCAAATAGGGTAAGGCAGACACCTTTCAGAATAAGCAGTTAAGATGCAACAACTCTTAAACGCAACTGAAAATGAAGTCTTTACAACATGAGGCGTTTGCCAATGCTAGTAGTAGACAATGAGATGAGTCCTAGCTATAAAATACAAGCATATTTATATTACAAATGTGAAAGAAAGTAAAAAAACCCAACAACATTCTATCAAGAGCTTCTCCTATAAGAGACTCTCTTTCAAACAACATCTATCAAAGACTGAAGATGATTGCCTGCTTCCACTTCACTATGTTTTTCCCTGGAATCTGTTATTGTGGAAACTGCAGAGTTAGATTTAAAGTCACCAAAGTACAAATAGATGTACAAAAATGACCCTATTCTTTACAGGCTATTCCTCTTTATTTGACAAGAAAATGTAAATGAACACAGCACAATTAAAGTGGAGATGGACGACAGTATCTCTGATCTCTGGGGATATCCGTCTCAGAATATGTTGCTGTATTTCACAGAGTTTCGAGAGAGAACAAAATCTGTATTAATGAGCTTGATTGACTTTCAACTACAGTAGGAGAAAAGCATTTAAGTCACCAGCACAGCTTAACCGAGCTGTATAGGGAGGAAACTGGTATTTCTTCTGCAGTGATTACCTTCTCTCTATTCTAGAAAGACAAAAATTAAAAATAGCTACTATTCTACCTCTACTTAAAATACCACAGCACAAAACATTTTAAATGGGACTGCCTATTTTGTAGTCAGTTGCACGATCACTACTTTTTCCAAATTTCAAGGGGAAAATTACCTTACAGGACTGCAGGAACATCAACAGCAGCTTTTCACATGTTTCACTATAAAATACAGCCTGTAGCATATTCACATTACATTTTATTATTTTTCTCATCTCATGAACTTTTTTCCAGTTCTTCTTTGTACTCTA